GTCTCTTGGCGAAAACATGCGCCGAGTGCATGCAGGTTTCGAAGCCAGGGATGGGATTGTCGTAGGCCATCGCTTGCACAATCTCGCCACCGACCCACCTTGAAATTCACTTTCGGGGGGATGCTTGAAGCACGCATGTGCGCCCAGAACTTGGCCTCGAGAGCTTCTTGCCGTTTACCTCCACCTCCTGAGTCGCCCAGTCAAGCATCATTCAGGGGGCATACTGGCCACTAGGTCACTAGCAACTCAACTCAGCACATGCTTCACTCCGTGGTTGGACCCTGTTGGGCCTCCACGTGGCCATAGAAGCGGATGGGGTAAGTGACATCAGGACGAGGGATCTCGAAAGGGCACCCATCACCTGCTGCGCGCAAGCGTTCAACCCAACGAGTCCGAGGACTCGTGGAGGATGAGGCAAGGGCCAATCCAAAAGTCTGGCTGCTCCACCTGGCGCCCGTTCCTGACAGTGACACGCCAGTACCGCCGGGCCGTAAAAACCACCAACCCGAGCAAAAGCACTCGATCTGCTGCTTGAACATGCCGTAGCTGTAGCGGATGCCGTAGCCCCAGCAAGGAAGGGACCTGATCCGAAAGTCTGTCGACACTTGCTAGATTCTGCAGGATCTTCTGCACCGCTGTCTCAAAATATAGATTTGCATAAAGACTGGGATGAGTGCGAATCCGGTCCTGTGCCATCCGAGCGGCATCGTGGCCATGGAGTCCAAAAAGCACCTGCATTTATTCTTTGCATATACTATGATATATTATGATATACGACAATGCAGTACCATCTAGGGAATCTACCGGACGCCTTGAGCCCCCCAGATGCCGGAAGACCGGGTTCTGGTTGGGGAACTTGATTTATAGGGATCTATAGAAACTAATTAACCTGGTTTCCGTATTATGGCAGCTTAAATCCGCCGAGGCCCAGGCGTCTTGGGGGTTATATACCTCAGGTACCCTCCACCTAATCCTCCTCCCTACAGTCCAAATGTTTGGAGACACCCTGTTTTTGCGCTCGTCCCTTGTCCGGCTTCCCTTCATTTTACCTGATTTGTCGGCTCAGGGCCCCCCCCCCCCCCCCCCCCCCCCCCCCCCCCCCCCCCCCCCCCCCCTCCCCTGCCCCCCGTTTTCCTCGCACTTGACCGTGTAAAGGTTGGGGTTGAGAGGCCCCCCTAGCATGTATACAACATCGACTGCCCCCTCGCCCTGCCGCTAAAGAGCCGAGGCGGGCGGCGTAGCGTTAAAAAATAAACCCCTTAACTATAAGAACCTAAACCCTAAACCCCAAACTCTAAGCCCGGCTAGACATGCTTGCATGACGAGTGCACTCGACCGAGTTCAGCCAGTATCTTCAAAAAAACCCTAAACCCTAAATACCTCCTAAATCCCTACACCCTAAATATCCCTAAATCGCTAAACACCTATACCCTCAACCCCTAAACCCTAAACCCTTTCATCCAGGCCTATTGCGACTGCCGGGTACCCTTGAAGAAAGGAAACGCCTAAACCCTGAACACCTTTTTGCAACTGGCTTGCAACGTCACGCCTAAACCCATTTTTGCTGCAGGCTTTCTGGACCCCTAAACCCCTAAACCCTAAACCTAACAAGAACCCAGAAGAGGTGCGCGGCGAGGCGACCCAGGCCGCCGTTGCCCAAGGCCGGATCTGCTTCCTGCGAGAAGAGCTCCTGATGAAAGGACCACTTTAGTCGTATGCCACACTAGAAAATGATATATTATGCGGCACTCGGATATGAAAAAATATACTATGCTAACATATCGAAATATAATGAAAAATCAAAAAATAACATAAGGTAACCCAGCCATCTCCAGCTCAGCCGGCCTTTTGCATACCCTGATGTTTTAAAAAGCGAAAGACGACACTTTGAAAGCCTGTTTCAATTGGAGCTCATCTCGCGGCGAGCGTCGCCCCTAACTTCGCGAGGAATCCCACACTGTCCTCCAGCTGGATGCCCAGATCCATGAATGCCTCCTGCCGAAAGCCGGTGCAACTGCAGCACTGCAGCAAACAACTGCCAGGTGCAGGCATTGCATCGGCAAATCAGTCACAATTGCTCATCTCCTGGAAAGGTCGCTCAAGATCCAGGTTAGCAACGGCATTTTGCATGTGCCGTCCGATCAGGTATTCTGCAGAGAAGTAGTAGCCCCTGGCAGAGTCAGCTGCCGCGACGACATCCGGGGCAAACGGCCTAGTCGCTGCCCTGTCATCGAGTGGCCTTTTGACGTCCTTCTCCCGGTAATATGCCTCGTTTGTAGGCTTGTAAGTTCTTTAGACTTCATTGCAAGAAAGGCCAGGTCATGCCCACGTGACCAATCATTCCTAAACCCACAAACACAGCCTGTCAGCGACCCCACGAACCCGGTCGAAGCAGTCTTTGGCTCCTGGCTCCTGTCGGCCTGTTGTGCGGTAAAGCTGAGGCGCTTCTGTGTCATTGAGGGACTCAACCAGGCGATCACGGAGAGCGAATCCGGCAGCTCGGTAAGCATCCTTGCATCTTCGGCACTGACTTGCGGAACAAGCAGACAACGGCTGTCAGTCTCGTGTGTACTGAAAGCCAGGTGGATGCTCAACAAGTGCAGAAGCGGCAGCGTGCCCCGTGGCTCAAGCAGAGCCCCGCAACGGCAACTGCTCGCGATGCAAAGTCTGACAGCCGGAGGCTTGCATGTCCACCAACATCCCCCCCTTATCCTGTTTTGAAGGAGAGGAGGGAGGGCCCACCCACTACCACCAGTAGGAAGTGAACACAGCCGGCAGGTCCTGCATGCTGAAGTTGAATCGCGTGCAGGCGAGAGAATACTCCAGATGTCGGGCGAAGGACTTCTTGATCGAATCTTGATCGTTCGGCTCCTTAGCACTGGTAAATGCTGCAAGGTCCCGGGGGCCGGCTGGACTGAGGCTTCGGCATAATGCTCCATCAACTTCCACAGTTTCGCCATTTTCTCCTAAAGCAGGGATGCGGCCTAGAAGCAACCGGATCCAAGAAGCATCTGTCTCCTTCCGGTAGTAATGAGCGTAGTTGCAGCACCAAACCCCGGAAGAGCTGCTGGACCGTATCGTCGCAACAAACTTTGTGCTGGTGCTTCGGAATCATCCCTTGCAGCACCTCACCGCCAGGTTTCGCCGTCGGCATCGGCCTGCTGCGACGAGCGTGCTGTTTCTGCTGCTCCAAAGCCCGCACCGCTACAGGCAGATATCTAGCCCTTGACGGGCAACATGTCTTGGTAGTAAAACTGGCTGCCAACAGACCTCACCCCATAGAAGTTATCCAGCCAAGACTTCTACACCATTGGGCAACAAAGGGATTCTGGCATGTCTGGGCACGAAACATTGAATGCTGCGCCTCGCCTTCGAACCGAGTTGTCCAACAAGGAAAACCTGCAGATTCGTGACTGTTACTTTTCCTACCTCCTACCTCTAACATCCCGTTTCCTGTTACTTCCTACTTACTAGTTTCTACTTGCTACAGCTGCTGCTACTACTAGTGGGTGAAAGAACGTATTGTTGTACTATAGATCATTGCTAACTCATGCACTGTGGTATGACATGGTATGCATGGCTATTATGCTTGGAAGGAACTCCGTCTCTCCCTTCCCTCGCTGTTGACGGTTTTTTGGCAGACTTGCTTTATCAGGTTGATTACACGCGGGTCATGCGGGGATCTAACCTCTCGAAAGCGCAAAAGGCTTTGCGAAGTTGTAAAGTGGGTCGACTGCGGATTGCAAAGGGTCTCGGCGAGATTGCAGAGGGATCCTACCGGAAAGGCTTTTCAGCTGCCATGGTGAATTCCTGGCTCAGACGCGACAGTCCGACAGCAAGACGCATGTGCACGAGTACAAAAAGTTCAGGCACAGCAAGATACACGAGCCCTGTGACGGTTGACTCTGTTTCTTGCCAGTGCTTTTCGACTCCTGGGATGCAGGGGTGCATCCAACGTGGTCTACCTTCGCTCATCTCTGGGACCATACTCTCCAAAACAATCACACGTTCTTACGGCAGCTCCAAACATCGGGCTGTGGAAAGCTACAGCAGTGGGACATCCTAGTTCATGGTACCCCAACGAGACAAACGAGAAGGTCCGGTTCCTACTCCAATGGCGTGAAGCGATGGTCCGGTAATGGCCATGCAGAGTCTGGAGCGCCCGAATCGTCTTGCTTGTGCCCAGCAGCGAAGTCTTGCGCTTCATCTCAAAGCCTCTCGTCAAAGCTGCTTCTAAGTCTTACGGGGCCCTTGGCATCCTTTCAGCGTAATGATTCCATCTATTTAAACCGTGGGGTTTCGACAGATTCAGAAGGCTCATCCCCATCTACTGGCCGTTTGCCCTCAGGGATCCTTCAGAAAGCCCGCGGCAGAAGCAACATCCCGCGCCCGAACCTGGAGCCGCACTCACAACTTGCAGCAAAGCCAAATGTTGCAGGCAGATGTGTGCGGCCTGCATTGCTCGGCGACCACACGCCACTCGTGGTCATAATTCCAGATGGGCAGATGGCCCGCAAGTTGTGGGTTAATAAAACGTGAAGAACCCCAACTGAAACAGCTGCGGGTCTGCACACCTAGCATCACCTAATGTCCAGAAACTGCATGGCAGCACCGAACAGAGAAGCGGCTCTCTGTCTAAACTGGAATGGAACCCTATCGGTTTATCTATTTATCCTTCTTTCTTTATCCATCCATCCTCCTACCTGTTGACCAAGGCTACTGTTCCAGATGTAGATATAAACGCATCTAGGCATGCATCTTGCATGCACGTACAAGGACACGGCAGGCACATCATGAGCGACCTCCTGAAAGACTGACATAGGTGGCAAGACTTATGACATGTTATGGCGAAGCTCGACTAAAGAAGATGGGTGCGGCATCTGTGCGCATTTACGCCATGGTCATTCTTGGGGGTCTTAGGCTTGACATGATGGGCATAAGACATCGAAGTCTCCACAGGTGTCTTCGCAAGTGAGGGTGCATGTATCATGCCACGCATCCTTCCAGTCAACGTCGATCGTGCCCTCCTTGGACTGACATACTGCACTCCAAGCACTGGCACTGACAACACCGGGTGCCCTAAAGCCAGCTCTACACCATCAAGCCACAACACCAGGAGTACTAGTGTTGGCTGCAGCAAGCTGCAGCCGTCTTGTCGTCCCAGTCTTTCCAGAACGCCATCTGCACAGTGCGGCCGGCAACAATGCTCCCTGCGCTGCTGCCCACCTGCAGCTTTGCGGGAGAAGCGGCTAATCCTGCCCTACATACGAAAGAACATGCACATGCATCCGCACACAAAGGCAGGCGGGACAGAACAGAACAGGATAGGACAGCACAGGACAGACACACACACACACACCCACGCACACACACACACACACACCCACACCCGCGCACTCAGTCATTATATAACTACTGCGACCACCGCCTCGAGTTCACCTCCCGTATGAGTATCTGCTGCCACGTCGCATAAATCGCACCTGCATCCATGGCATCGAAGACCAACTGGTCGCCGCCTGCAACTTGAATGAATTCCAAGCACGCACGCATGACAGGAACATGCACTCCCCAGAAGACCGCAGATGGACAAAACAGGCCCCAGCATCTCTAGAATCTGAACATGTTCAGATACCGGGGCACACTCTCTCTCGCATACTGCGGATGATACATCGCGCTGAGGGTCTCTCATATGCCATGCCAGGACGCTTGAAGACCTGAACAGTTTGAACATAAGATACTACATATACTACTGCACGAACCTTAAAGTATGATCCTGCTCGGGTATCAGATTCACTGAGCTCCTTACAACTTCAGTTTGCAGATGTAGCACGCCGCAGTTGCATAGAAACGTAAGTGAGGGTTGAGATGCCCCCCTGCGCGAGTCTTTACCGGCCCCAGTACCGGCAACATGCGATGCTTGGCCGATTCTCATTTCAAATTTGGGTTTCTTCTTTGGGGACGATGCTCGTCTGCTAGTGGTACCACTTCCTAAAACGGCCACGACGATGACTATTACCTCGGCTATTGAAATTGCTAACCCACAAAAACTACCGACCACAACAATCTGCACTGCTATGCAAAGGCCATGAGCGATGCTGCTCCAGTTCAGGCAGGCCTGAGTCTCTCAGATGGTGCCGCAAAGCATACCTGTGCCGATTGCTACAAAGCAAGACCTGATAACCATCTAAGGAGCCTCGGTCCCATGACACAATGGTTCTTTCGCTTGCCCTCGACCTCTAACTAAAACATGCACTGACTGACCAGCCGGTACTTCCTTGCAGCCGCAAGCGACGTGTTACCCATCTCGGCCCAAACCACGTCCACTCTACCAAGCGCAGCGACGGCTTTCTTGAGTTCATCCCCTTTGACGTACCTAGCATGTACAGGACGAGGACAGGAAGCCTTCGACCAGCGTCTGAAGCGCAGTTGAGAGGAGAACAACTGAGCTGCTAGCTCAACGTCGATTACCACCACACGGCTCAGGCCAAACTCACCTCGGAGGCTTAGCATCAGGAAGGTCGGACATGTCACAAGTTTATGGTTACACTGGTGAGTTTCACCAAGACGAGTCTCGGAGGATTCGCCATTCTCTTGCTAGCACCCACGTTGCAAACCAGAAATATCCGCCTTCTTCCAGGTGCGCTCTTCTGGCAACGCAGCCCAAAAACAAACCATCCAATCTCCATTCTATCGAAATGCATGCTGAAGGAAAGTGGTTCCTGCACGGTTTGGACATGCTGAGTGTGGAAGGAGGGCAGGAGGCACTTCCTTGAACACACGGCCACGTTTCTTTTCCACATGGTTCACACGTCAGGGTCGGGCCAACATAGAGGCGCACTAATTTGAGTTGGGAAATTTTTATGGTCAAGCCGTAGCTTGGATGCAGCTCAAGAAGACTTAGTGGCGTCGTCATGACAACCCTAACATCTTTTCATGTCATGGTGTTGAGAGTGCTGGAGCCGCATTCGGGCAAGCACCCCTTGGGCAGTCCTCCTGGCCAGCACTGAAGCTTGCAAATGTTAGGGGTACAAGCTATCTGTCTGAGACAGATGCACCCAAGTCGTTGAGGTTTGCTCGTGCCAAACCTCTAGCAGAAAGCAGCACACCTCGCGGCCAAGTGCTTAGCAGCCACAGCTTCCTGATGACGGCTGCCAAACTAGCTATTAAGCCGAGTGCAGGCACGTCCTTGCAAATAAGTGCTGAGTTGTCTCTTACGGTCTTTTGGATCATAGAATTTAGAAAAGTCTGCCTTTAGTCGGAGTGCAAAGGACGTGCCACACGCTGCCTACCCTTGTCAGCGTACCCTGTCCGACAGAGGTGAGCCCAACTTTCGGAGGACTATGACTATAACTAACAAGACCCTGCTGAGAAACTCTCGCCGCGACAAAAAAGGACACTGTCGAGCGGGATGCAAGGATCGGCAGCATGATGTGAAAAATGATTCCTAGTCCGCCAACAGCCCCGGCTCATGCCGGCAATCACAACACCTCTGCCAAAACATCAGGAAACAGCCCTTCATAATTAGAACAGGCTTCCTTTTTAGGGTTCTATAGGCCCCAATTTGCAAGCTGCAGGCGGACCCCAAAGTCTGAAGTCAGAAGCTGCCGGAAGACCACGGCGGAGCCCCAGCCACTGCCGTTTGCGCGTGGCGTACTACTCCTACTCCTACTCCTGCTGCTGCTGCTACTACTACGACGACTACTACTACCACTGCTACTACACTTTTATTGCTATTATTACTAGTATTACCATTACTACTATTAGTACTAGGCCGTTACTAGGCTTCTCAGGCCGAATATCCGATGCAAGGCGGACTCCCACACTGGGATTTGCCAGTGGAAGGGCTCCCCACGTCCTTCCCTAGACAGAGTTAGCTTCTATGTGCGGGTCCTCCATGAGGTCCTTGAGTTCGCCATCAGTAGAACTCGCACGCAAGTTGTTGAAATATACCACCTTGGCTACAATGCGGACTGGCCAAGATGTGTCCCAGTCGTTCCTTCGTCGCTGATTTGGCAGTATGTGCGCGCTGATTCTGTTGGGGGGGTCTGCAACCTGCAGGCTGATCGGCCACACGACCTGCACTTGCCCTGAAAGTGTTCGTTTGTTGGCGCATTGCTGACCCAGGTGCAATTTTCCTGAAGTCTTCCTGGAGAGTTTCAGCCTCCTGCATCCGTTCCCGGAAGCCTCTGCAAATTCTGACAAACTTGTCGTCGATGGACTCACCTGGCAATATCTGCACATGTAAATCTCCAAGGATTCGGGCTCTCACGACAGTGAAATCTCTGCTGACGGGGCCTGGTCCTCGATGAGCTCGCGGATCCCTGAAAGGGCTTCTGGTCCTCTGACTCCTGCCGCTTCGTAGATTCGGCTTGGGCACCTGCTGGGCCCAGCCCGTGCCTGCAAGGAAATCACGACAGAAAGCTTCTCTAGATCGTTTTCCGGCATGACTGACGAAGGACAGCTGCATGTCGGTGACCACATGCCAAGCAAAAGCATGCTGAATTCGAGGGCACATGACCTGCGTAGGTGGAGATGTGCTGATCCACCGCAGCTCTTGCGAGCTCCTGCCACAAGAGTACTTCCGTGAACCCGATGTTGTAGCTTTCACATGGTTTTCAAGGCTGGGAACGGGCAGGCAGGCACAACTCCGCTTGAGGTCCGGCCGGCTCGAAAAAGTTGCCGCCATTGCTGCAAGTGCCCTCCGTGCCGTAATGCCGTTTAGACAAATCGGTCTTGGGCTCAGAAGTTTTCGACCGACTAATCCTGCAACCCATCAAAGGTGCCCCAGCCCACCTCAACCTTGATGCGAGATGAGTTTCAAACCCTGCGACGACAGCCTCTGCTCGGGCGAGATGCAGACGGAGCTGGTGGTCGATTCGCCTCGGCTGTGACGGCTCACAGCCAATGATGCTTGTTCCCCTCCTACCAATGATGCTTTTAAACTGAAGGGTGCATTCCGTGATCAGCAGGAAAATGGCCGGTGTGCATGCGTGACTGTCGTCATGTCTAATACCAGGGCGCTTGTGGGTGGGTGTGTGTGTGTGTGTGTGCGGATATAAACATGTAGTTCTATAAATATGTGTATGAACACACACGCCTTTATAATATAGAGAACCTGCGAGTACATGTGTTTGATTTGCGGCTGCTGCCTCAACACCCAGCATCTGAGCACAACCTACTGTGTGGCTACCCGTGCTCTTTGCAGCACTGGCTCTTAGAGTGCACCATCACACACTCTCTGCCGTCACTCAATCCCCAAACTGGTCAGCTTGTCTTGCAGCTTACAGAATCGGCAAACCTGGTCTGCAAACCTACAATACTGGGCCGAAGGTGACGCACTCGCACAGGGCTTTGGGATTCAATCTGCGTGATCTACCTGCTCCGTGTAAGTCGGGTACTTGACAGCCGGGCAGGCTCCGGAAAGTCTTAAGTAGGCAGTTGGTTCGACGTAGTCTGGACGTCGGCTGGGCTGGAAGGTCAAAGCGGTCGAAGGGAGCCGCTACGCAACTTTTTTCATCTCCAGCGTGTTGCAGCACGTGTCCTCGGTGTAGACAGCGTCGAAGCACTCGGAGGAATTGCCAGAACCGCAACATAAGATGCATGAGTTCTTAACACCAACGTTTGTATCTTTCATGACACCTCCCGTTTTTGTTAATGCATTCTTGGGGTGCCAGCAGTCCGGAAGTTTCAATGGCAAACAGCGGCGCAATGGATCTGCCAGTTCTGACACGACGTGCGGATGGAGGTCTACATGGCCGTCAAAATATCCATGGCTCCCATCCAGGAACCGACGCAAGTCATCCAGTTTGAGCGGCCAGAAGGTCTTTGGCAAGCACTTCTCTAATCCAGGGAGTAGATCGGCCACAACTTTCTTCACGGTCATCTTATCAGCCTTGCTGTCAAGAAGCTCGTGGCAGACGACAGCAAGAGTGGCAAAACCGATGGGACAGGAGATCGGATCGAGATCTGATTTAAGGACCACGCCACAATTTCCTTCCTTGAAACTCATTCCCCGTTCGACCTCGCCTGGCATCAGAAATGTCAGAAGATGCAGCCAAAGATTGTTTCCAAAGTCACAGCGGCAGCTCCGCGTCAGCCTGTCCCACTTCTGGGACGGAACCTTCGGATCGGTCTTGACCGTCAGCCGGCCCTTGCTCTTGCTGGATAAGCCCGGATGATTCAACAACTTGTCAAAGTTGGCGGCGAAGGACTTCTCCCACAAGGCTTCGGCATCATGAAGATTCTGCGCCACCTCTGGGTCCGTGTTCTCCACATCCCAGATGTTTGTGTCACCAAGGGTAACATCAAGAGGTTCTAGTTTGAAGCGGGTGCATTGCCCCATGGGCTGCTGGAAGGTAACGATGTCAGTCCATGACAGCAAACCCGGAACCTTCTTCTGGTGCACATACAGCGGAATGTGCCGGCCGGTTTTTCCAACACACCTGCCTTCCCCCAAAGCATCCTGAAAAGGCCAGAACTGCACCATTGCTGCTGGGTAGAATCGGCCTTCTTGCAGAAACAGGCCTACCAAGCCCGGCCGCACAGGGCTTAACCAATGTGAAACATTCAACTTCAGGAAAGCCAAACGGAAAGCATCCTTGCAACCAACAAGGACCCGGGTGAAGAAGTGCCTCGTGGCAAGGTAGTTAGCCAGGCATATCACTGGCCAATGCTTCTGCTTGTTGATCAAGAAGTAGCCAGTCTCGTGCTCCTGGCTGTAGCGCGGTTCAGAAACATTAAACTTGAGCTGAAGCAACTGTAGTGCCACATGGTTCGGCCATGAGGACTCACCAAACGGATAACAGTCATGACTCCAATGGTCGGGCCAGAAGAGTGCCCCATCATGCTTGTATGCTTCAGTCTCAAAGAGTAAATCTGGGGACACCAGCGGAGTGATGTCAGTGTCCATCCACAAAACGTGCTGGAAGCTTGAGCTCATGACCGCTGGAACTATTGTAGCATATTCCTTGTACACTCCTGGCATGTTCAACTGACGGCAAACTGCACCACTGGCTGCCAATGCCTCGCAATGAGCATCCTCCAATTCAAAGGCATGCCAGAACTCCACCGGTAGATACGACTTGTGCTGGGATCGCAGCACGTCCAAATTGGCAAGTGCTTGCAAAACGTGCTGTGCACCGCCACTCATCACAATTCCTCGGCCCTGGAAGGCAGAAGTTGACGGCATGGGGGCCCTCTGAAGATCGCTCAAAAAGCTGGCCAAGGCCGCCTTCTCAGATGGCAGGTGCTCGGCACACTCTTCCCAAGGAAGCTTGTGGCTGCAGAATGGCTGCCTCTGGCCCTCCTCGGCCCAGACGAAGCCACTGGTGGCAGTAAGAACGACCAGAAGGAGACGGAGGATGGCAACAGGATACCAAGCGAACAGCGAGTGAGTCAAGCCCATTGCTCCCACGGGCTGCAACATGTAAACCGAAGTCCGGGGCACACAAATGTAAGGGTTATTTATAAAAGTCGCAACACGCTGCACTTAAGG